TAACCAAGGCCGCAGACTCAACTGAAGCAGCCCTCGATGAAGGTCGGGCAGTGGGTACTGCGATAGGACGAGCGGATGCGACCGACTGGCGGAAAGCTAACGGAGGGGCCCTTGCTCTTCGCACTCTCCCTGACAACAACAAACGATGCATGAGAAGCTAAGTAAAAAGGGAAAGAACAGTAGACAAAGACGTCATCTCACCTGTAAGGGGCCTGCGTCCGAACCTCTCATGAAAGGTCGACCAGGTGCGAATCCCCACCGTATAGGGAAGTATGGCCTCCACCCACTCACGGATACCTTCGACAGGTGGAGGAGGCAATCTCTCAGCTGCAAAGATGTGATAAAATTTAGTACCCATAGAAAATGGTCGAGCACTTCGACGACTAAAAATACAAACTTACGTGCAAAGTTCCATTTCTCAGGGAATCCCGTTGGGTCCGCCACGATATGCTCAGTTTGCACATAAAAGTAATTCTCGTAGAAACGATAGTTGGTCCTGTCGTCCATCTTCACCACCAGCCCCTTCGATCCCCGAGGACGCATGTGAACCATCGAACCACAAATATGTTGGGGAGCAAAGATGCTGAGCATATTGTCCAAAGTGACCTCACGACCGGCGAGTTCAGCATACTTGAGAAGCATAAGGAATACCTTGTATAAATATGGCAAAAGTTGGGTGGGGAACACTTTGTAGTAGCGACAAAAATCTACCACTAATAGGGAAAGAGGAAATGTGTACCCTATAATGAAGGGGTAGGCATTGAACACACAGTACCCGAGGCGGTCGAAGTGAACTATGTCTTTTCCCACTGCTGGCCGCATATCAACATAACCGGGAATCCCCCACCTTTCCTTCAATTCTGCAATGTCCCTTTCCCTCAGAACAGAGTGAACAGGTTCCGGTTTGACCCTGGCAGGAGTAGTGAAGTCAGTCGGCTTTGTCCCAAGGCGGGGTAAGATCTCAATCACCGATGGGACCCCCTCATCCTCCACTGCATCCGCCCCTTCGGTGATCTGAGCAGCATTTTTTGGTACTTAATCAACAGTAGGGAAATTTTCACAAGAAGAATCTCCAGCCATTCTTGTCAGAAAATACGCCAAAGAAATAACGGAAAGTAGAGATGAAAGTTTTCAGTGAACAAGGGGGCACGTAGAAATTTGAGGTACCGAGAAGAAAATATATCTATAAGATTATTCCGAGTAAAAGATGAAGAAGTGTGTCGATCGAATGACAAGTTTCCTCTATTTATAAGAAACATAAATCCCCCGAGCATGAAACTCAAGAGTCGCCAATCAAATCTGGTAGCGCATGAAATTTTTCAGTCTCCCAGAAACGTGCGTCATAATGGTGATAACCATGAAACAACGCTTCAATACCAAACGATGTTTTGATTCTGAAACCGCCACAACGGTCCATGAGGATCGAAAGAACGCCACCACTCAGCTAAAAACCCACAAAATGTGACTAAGGAACGGAAAATCGTAGGTCAGATTTCTCTTGAATTCGTAACGAACATGATCCGTCTGCCGAGTCCGACATAGGACGACCCCAACAGATGGAGGGACTAACTGTATTGGTCAAAATCTGACTGTCACGACCAAGTTGACCGACACCCCGCATCAGTAATTGGGCAGTGAATGTCAATAGAGCCCACTCCATTTCTCCTCTATGACATCCGACGAATCGGTAAGATTGACGCCTAAAATCATGACCTAGACACATCAGTGGCAAGAAGATGTCAAGTTAAGCAAAGGGCAACGATATCCTAACTATAAATAGCCAGGGAAAGCTCTCAGCAAAGGGAGCTTCTCCAATTTCCAAAAAGGAAGACAAAAAGCTCCCTTCTTGTATTCTAGAGAAAGAGGAGATAACCTCGAAGAAAATATGTAAATCTACTTCCTCATCGATTGATGAGAAAGACAATGTCGAATCTTAATAAGATCAATCATATCTCTTTCATCCCATATGCAATCGTTGTTGTTAACTTTTCGATCTGGAATTAATTATATTTGACTAAGATTTACCCATTCATCTTTGATTGGTTTACTCAAAAAAATTTTAATATCTTTTGGGTCAAACAAGAATGACATGTCAGCTTGTTGGTCTTACTTGTTGACGTGGTGGTTTATCCATAACTAACATGGACCCAGAAATAAAAATCCGAGAATGGTGGAACTAACTACGATACAATAAAAAACCACAATTTTTTTTATTTTAAAAAAACCGTATTCCTATTTATTTTATATGACACCTTTTAAATTTTCAGACATTTATAGATCTTGAAAAAATATATTTATAGATATTCAACACAATTCCATTAATAGCAATATTCTATATAATTTTTCACAATTTCTTAAAATTCAAATTCACTAAAATATTTAGCTTTCAATTTTGATGTGATATTTAATACTTTATATTTTTTTTTTAGTCAGTCCGCTAGGCAAACGCCTAGGGCTAGTTTTATTTATAACCAGATAAAATACAAAATACAATGTCATGATATCCTACGAACTGAAAGTAATAAAGTTTGAACTTAACAAGTATCCTATTATCAAAATTGAGTGTTACACTCAACATTGATAACACATTAATACTATTAAACTTTGTAATACAATTCTGCATCCAAGAATGTGCATGTGAAAGGCGCACAATGCAACATTCCTTCTAAACCCGTTTGTTTGTTGCAATTCCATATCTTTTTCGACACTTGTTTTCTCTTTTGTTTCACAAAATCATGTTGTAGTTTGCTTCCATATCTAGTTCCCTCCATCCTCCATAGTAGACTCACAATAGTCTTGGCGTGCAAATCCCTGTCGTGCCTCCATGTTCGATCACATCCCANTGCCTCCATGTTCGCTCACGTCCCAGCTTCCAGCATCCGTTCGTCGTCCCCCATGCTGGTCGCATACCAGTGCACAGCCTTAAGCGTGCTCGACAACGACGAAGCCTAGGATTGTTGACAGCTTTGTGGTGGAAAGCACGTGAGTCCCACTTACAGCCTTTTCCATGTGATCTCTTTGCTCAACAGCATGTGTTGTCTGCCATGCCTTGCACATGAAACCATGTGTGCACATTAAAATATTTAGAAAATGCCTCAGTGCATAGTTAGATTCCTTTTCCAGCTGCTGTGCTTTGCGTGAACTATTGTTGTTAGCTTCTGTCGCACAAAACTCCCACTTGACAGTAGTTAGCGTGCATGGCATCTGCACCTTTTTTTTTCTTTTGCTGCGTTCCTTCTGCTTCGTCGATGAGAGACAGCTTTGTGCTGGAATCGCACGTGAGCTCCACATACAGCTGCAGCATAAAGAAATATATCCCATAGTACCTTCATCCTAGAGTATTGCATGCTTTTATGTATCCTAGATAACTTTCCATGTGCATTCGACTTTTCCATTTGATTCCTTTGCTCACCAGCATGTGTTGTCTGCCAGGCCTTCCACATTAAATCTTGTATGCATATTAAGAGATTATTTAATCCGAATTGGATTGAAGCATGCGATAATATAAAGCATTGGCCTTTGTTGCCTGCTTTTCTCGAAAACATATTTGCTTCACATGCTAGTTGTGTTTCCAATGCCATTTGCTTCTTGTTGTGCTCGAAATTAGGATCAATCATTTTTATATTCCCAGATCCCTGAACCATGCGTATGATATTAAACACTTCTGCACCATGCTGGTTGTATATCCAAAGAACTGAAAGCACACTTTCACCTCCCGCTCTTCCTTTTCTCTTTGCTTACTATCTCCTGTTCACATTCACCCTTAGATTTGGACATTGCAGCTTATCTTCATTTACCAACCTCCTTCCCTGTGCATCTAGATGCCAGAATTGTTGGCATTCTATTTCTCCATGATCTAAAGCATAATTAGCCAAGTGATCTGCCAGTTTGTTGCCCTCCCTATGAATATGAGTAACTGTGTAATTTCCCTCATTCATTAGTTGCATCATTTCCTCTACCTGCTCAGATATGATCCATGGTGGTTTCCAGATCCTATCCATTATCTTTTTTAATAACATTGAGTCAGTTTGAAGCCATACATGAGAGTATTGTTGAAATCTGCAGAACCTTAGTGCTTCTACCATGGCCTTCGCTTCAGCTACTGTGTTTGTTGTCTCTTCAATCTCTTTCCCTACTGACTTGACTATGTCACCATTTTCATTTCTTATACAAAAACCTATTGAGCTCCTGCCTGGATTTCCCCTCGATGCACCATCCGTATTAACTTTTAGCCATCCTGCACTTGGAAATTCCCACGTGACTTTTGTAACCTTAGTATGTAGTGCATTAGTATGTAGTGTATTGGCTGTTATTTTAATGTATTCTTACTACCATTAATTAAAAAGATCCATCTATATACTATACACTTTTCATAACATCACTAATAATTAGAAGTCAAATTAACTTTTTCGGCATGTAACTATTTTTATGAATTTTTTATTAGAAAAAATTTGGACTTATATTACTTTTTGTATAATTTCTAAATGTACACATCTCACTTTAAGAAAAATAAGAAAATTAATTTCTGAATTAAGATTCAAAAATTAAAAAAATTGGCCCTGATACTTCATATTTCATTTAATTTGAAAAGAAAACAAGGAGTATACAATTTGGATAAGTTTCTGAAGGAAAATGGTAAGCAGTAAGCACAATAACTTTTCATATAAATTAAGACAAATAATTCTATATTTGTTTGGTCCATAAGTGCAAAGAGAATCAAGAAATCTAAGCAAAAAACACTAGTGAATATTTTTCTGTGTGGCTGACAAAGTTACCCTTCTGTGCCTGCGCACAAGCAGGCCTGTGCGTAGGCTGAATCACTGTGGATTAAAGTAATCCACGCTTATATTTGCAGAACACACAAAAAAAATTTAAAAAAAATAAAAAAATAAAAATCCAGGAAAAAATAATAGTACTCCATATGGTAGGGGCTATGTTTAAATATCATGCTTTATGTAAATTTATTTTGTGGTAGGGGATGGAAGTGGTTCCAAGTTGTTTCTTCCATGCTATGCTGTGCCGCCCAGCGACTTTTTGGTCGGTAGCAGCTCACGTTGCCTATAAATGTAGGGACGGTGCCAAAATGCTCTCACAAAAATCTAAGTACACGTAAACACACCCTGAAATCTCAATCCGCTCTATCTTACGCAGAAATTGATCAAAAACCAAACTCAACTCCAACAACGCAGCCATCATGTCACCGAATAATTACTTTGCTAGCGATGTCGACGGAATTCACGGTAAATATGAAATAGTTGAAGTTGAAGCCGATGTCCACATCATCACCTCTGGCGGCCTCCGCATACCGGCGCATTCCACTGTTCTGGTAATGCTGGCCATAGCTTCTGTTTGTGTAACAATTCATCACTCTCTCCATGTTAGATTTATTTAGTTTGACTACTTTTTGAAATTGTATTTTTATATATGTCTCAACATTTGTGTGTAGAGGTGTCAAACGGTTAGGTCGGGTATGGAATGAGTCGAAAACGGGTAATAAAAAAATGAATAAATTAAACGATCCGATCCGTATTTAATATGGATAAAAAAGGAGTTAACCGGCGAATAATATGGGTAGCCATATTATCCATGAATTTTTGAATACGATCACTTTTCGAAGAATTCTTATTCTCCCGAACTTGAGGAATCCAATTTTAGATTTTACAAATATAAAAGTTAAACCCAATAATTATCCATTGGTTATCTATTTTTTAAATGGATAAATATGATTTTTATCCACCTGTTTTTAAAAAGTTCTTATTCAACCCGTTTTTTAGTTGGGTGATTAGTGTATTCTTTTTACCATTTTGCTACCACTATTTGTGTGATTTGAATGGTTTCTAAACATAGTTATGTATCATTCTCAGATCAATAAGGAAATAGTGGTAGAACTAGGGAGTAGCACTTTTGTGAAGTAGGTATGAATCGATTCTTCATTTTCTTAAAAAGGAAAAAAAAAAAGAAAAGGGAATGCTTCTTGGCTAACATGAAAAAGACCATCTACTTCCATGTCAAAACTGGGAGTGGGTCCTAGGAAAAATCCAATTCTTCAGATGTGAATCCAATAGTTAATTTCCAAAATCACTCTATTTTGCAATTTGAAAGTACTGATCTCTACGAAACATAATTGTAGGCTGCTACGTCGACGGTGCTGGAGAGCATACTAGTTCGACCGCAAAAGCGGAGGAGCTCTGAGAAAACGATACGGGTTCTCGGCGTTCCCTGCGACGCCGTTTCCGTTTTTGTCCGATTTCTCTATTTCTTCAAGTGAGTTTTCAAATACATGCGAATCCGTTTGTTTTCTAATTTGTTTATTTATTTTTAAAATTATATCGGTTTTCATGATCAAAGTTCAACCCTGATTTGTTGGAATTGAATATACTGAATATGACAGCAGGAAGTAGATTCATGTGGGATTAAGCTGGGTTTGGACATAAATATGGTTGAAACTTGAAAAAAATGAGTTTTTGAAGATAAAAGATGAAAAATGATTTTTGAAGATAAAAGATGAAAAATGATTTTTGAAGGTTGAAATTCTGTTTGTACATGTATTTTACTTGAGAAGAATTTGAAGTTTTGTGAATATAAAACTTCAAAACTACTCTAGAGCTATTTTTGGGATTTGAAGATTTTGTTTTAAAAATCTACCAAAAAATGGTTAAAATCTACAGACAAACAGATATTGAAAACAAAATTTGAAAAAAAAAAAAAAAAAANTCTTCCAGTGTTATTGGAGTGTACAACAAAAATTTTAAAAAGGATTTTCATCCTATACACTAGTAATAGAAAGATTTTTGGTATTATCATAGTAACATATTACTGCGATGTACTTATTGTTATCTTTTAAGTAAATGTAAAGGTTTCCTTCAGTATGCATATAATATTTTCTATTAAATACACATAAATAAAACATATGGTTGTCTAAATCGACCATGTTATCATTGTGTTCAGGTGCACTGAGGAGCAGACGGAGAAACATGGGATTCATCTGCTAGCACTTTCTCATCTGTACTTGGTGCCACAGCTGAAGCAGAGATGCACTAAGGGGATGGCCGAGCGATTAACGATTGAAAATGCAGTGGATGTGCTTCAACTTGCGAGACTATGTGATGCACCTGATCTCTACCTCAAGTGCATGAAATTTTTGTCAAGCAATTTCAAGAAAGTTGAGGAGACTGAGGGCTGGAAGTTCCTTCAAGATCATGATCCTTGTCTTGAGCTTGAAATTCTACAGTTCATGGATGAGGCTGATTCGGTACGTAGCTAGTAACTACAAAATCATTTGCATATACCCCAGCTTCTAGCTCATTGACAATTGTGATTTTAAGTTCACCCATGATTTGGTTCATGGAATTCCTCTTGGAGTTTGTCAATTGATTGTGGAACAATAGGAAGAAGCTGTCGTGTGATCTTGACATGGCATTTGTTTGCATTTCTTTTATCATTAAGTGATGTGACTAGTGATTTTCATTGGTAATTAATCATTTTAGCGTAAGAAGAGGAGGAGGAGACACAGACGTGAGCAGAGCTTATATTTACAGCTAAGTGAAGCGATGGTTTGTTTGGAGCACATATGCACCGAAGGATGTACAAGCGTGGGGCCTTATGACATGGAATCTAGCCATAAGAGGGTTCCATGTAGCAATTTTGATACATGCCAAGGCCTCCAGCTTCTGATCCGACATTTTGCTAGCTGTAAGACAAGAGCGAATGGAGGTTGTTTGAGATGCAAGCGGAGGTGGCAGCTCCTAAGATTACACGCATCTGTTTGTGACCAACCTCAAGATTGTCGAGTTCCTCTTTGCAGGTAACCACTACTTACTAGTTTATAGATCTATTCTTGTACTGATCACTTTGCTGTTGTTGACTTGTTCATTTCTTCTTTAGTTCCTCAGATTTTTTTACTTCGTCCGTAATTGATTCTTCTATTTATGATATAGTCATTCCTAGGAATGTTTATCAGTGTCATATATACCACCATATACTATTGTGGGTTAAGTGCAAAAGTATTGGTTGACATCATGATTTTGCTCAATGTCATGTCTAATCATGAAGTTTATTTCAAATTTCATAGTGATTTCTTAATGCTGATCGTTGGGGTTGTGAATTCTTAATTGAGAACGACCCATCAAAAATTAATCTTAGAAAGCAGGGCTTAGTGACCTTTTTGACATATTCCATTGGATTTTTTCTAGTTGAAATGTGTCTATTTATCCTGTTCGTCTTAGTGAAAATATCTTCAATGAGTAATAAGCTTTTAACACGTAGATTGGATAAAGTCGAAAGGGTCACAAAAATATCAGCTTCAAAATAACTTTATTTGCTTTCTTTATGAGTAGGGTCTATTTCTTGAACTGATACAATGATCCTTTCTTTTGTTATGCACTGTAGTTGGTGATCGGTGAATATATTAGTAGATCCAGTTTTTCCCATTACAGACAATTCGAACTGAAATTGCAACAAAGGGGTGATGATACGCTGTGGAAATCACTTGTTAGAAAGGTGGTGTCTGCCAAAGCTATATCTTCTTTGTCTCTGCCTAAAAGAAAGAGAGAAGAAGAACCAAGATTGAACTTAATAAGCCATCATCAAGTGAGAAGTTTTAGGTTGACAACTCACTGTCAATAGTTAGAAAGCTATGTTGGCAATTCAGTGTCAACAGTAAAAAGTTATTTACCTTTAAGGCTTGAGAAGGTATCGGTTAGGCAAATTCAATCTATGTAAATGAACAATCAATGGTATGGCAGTTATTACTAGAAATTATAGAGTTCGGAACCTGGTTCTTTTGGACTCAAAATACATAAATAGGTGGGGGAAAAAAGGTGACATTTTTATATATAGCGCCACAATATTTGATGTTATACATTAACGTTAATTGTGGCGTTAATGTATAGCGCCAAGTATTGTGACGCTATACTGCAAAACCTGACACGCCCAGGTATAGCGCCACAATACCTGACGCTATACATAAAGTTTTATATATAGCGCCTGGTATTTTGGCGCTATACTCCTTTTTCCTGGCCCCACCAATAATTACTGACTTCAATAATTCAAAAGCGTATAGTGCTAACTTTTTGGGCGCTATATATATATATATATATATATAAAAAAAAATCTCGGCTAGCCATTTCCTATATAAAGAAGTTAGGATTGTATAGAAATTCATTCAAAAAAAATTTTAACTCTTGTTGAAATGTTTATTGTTGTTAAATTCTCCAGCATTTTTTCATTATGTCTGAAGAGCGTAGAATAAGAGTTTCATTATATTGGGGGTGAGGTTGTGATGGAGAATAACTCTGTGGGCTACAGTTTACCTGCTCAGTGTCATGTTAAATTGCCACTTACAATAGAGTACGATAAATTGATATCGTTGTTATGCAAAAAAATGAGTGTGAGGAAACGTTCAGTGATACTTAAAGTAACCGGAAGATATCTGTATTCCGTCACTCCGCAAGAGTTTGCTTTTTACTCGGAGATTAACATCGACGATGATGAAACTTTGAGTGATTTTCTGAGGACTCCGGATGAATGCCGGGAATTTCTTGTAATCACAATGTTGGAGATGTACGTGAAGGTCGAAGACGTTCCAAAAAACGAGATTGTGCGTAGTAAAGATAACCCCCAGTCATCGGGTGGTTATTCTGGAGCAGTTTTTGCCGGACAGGTTCCGGATGAAAGAGTTTTCCTTGATTTAAACTTATCACCGTCGGCGAATGAGCAGCGAGAAAATAATTTATACCCTGCTTTCCATAATTCACAAGACGAGTGGTAAACTTCAATTTTCATTTGTGTTAATTATGTATATTTTTGGCGTATTGAATTTGTATTAACGCTTATATATTTAATAGGGGGTACCGGCCGGATATAAATTTTACAAGTGGCCCATCTGGTAGTCATCACCTAATTAAAAACGTCCATCATGGAATTTCATCACATTACGACTTGTAAGTGAAGTGATATAGCCATATGGAAAGCATTTATTAATTCAGTAGCTTATATTTTTGTTGGTTGTGCAGTGAAAACGAGCAAGTTGAACCACTCGTACTCACTCAATTGACCGAAAACGACGTATTACATCGGGATCTGGCAGATGCACANGTGTCATGTTAAATTGCCACTTACAATAGAGTACGATAAATTGATATCGTTGTTATGCAAAAAAATGAGTGTGAGGAAACGTTCAGTGATACTTAAAGTAACCGGAAGATATCTGTATTCCGTCACTCCGCAAGAGTTTGCTTTTTACTCGGAGATTAACATCGACGATGATGAAACTTTGAGTGATTTTCTGAGGACTCCGGATGAATGCCGGGAATTTCTTGTAATCACAATGTTGGAGATGTACGTGAAGGTCGAAGACGTTCCAAAAAACGAGATTGTGCGTAGTAAAGATAACCCCCAGTCATCGGGTGGTTATTCTGGAGCAGTTTTTGCCGGACAGGTTCCGGATGAAAGAGTTTTCCTTGATTTAAACTTATCACCGTCGGCGAATGAGCAGCGAGAAAATAATTTATACCCTGATTTCCATAATTCACAAGACGAGTGGTAAACTTCAATTTTCATTTGTGTTAATTATGTATATTTTTGGCGTATTGAATTTGTATTAACGCTTATATATTTAATAGGGGGTACCGGCCGGATATAAATTTTACAAGTGGCCCATCTGGTAGTCATCACCTAATTAAAAACGTCCATCATGGAATTTCATCACATTACGACTTGTAAGTGAAGTGATATAGCCATATGGAAAGCATTTATTAATTCAGTAGCTTATATTTATGTTGGTTGTGCAGTGAAAACGAGCAAGTTGAACCACCCGTACTCACTCAATGGACCGAAAACGACATATTACATCAGGATCTAGCAGATGCACAGAGTGAGGAACAGAACAGTGATTACGATAACAATGCCGATGAATCCGTAGACGAGACACCCTTTTTTCGTGAGGATGGTGATGAGCAGGATGAGAAGGAAGGACCTGATTTGAAGAGAGACCCCCCTAGACGAAGAGTGTACAAGTCCAAAGTGTTGTTTCATTCAAGGGAGATTCCTTATATTGATAACTTGCCAACCATGTCGGATGTGGAAGCTCTCACAAGGGATTTTGATAAAATTCGTACAGCAATGTGGGATGAGTCTAGACCAACGGTGCTTGCAAAGGGGATGCTTTTTCTTGATAAAGTGCGCTTAAGTAAGGCTTATAAAATGCACAACGTAAAAGAGTGTCGTGAGATGCAGGTATGGGAGTCAAGTCCGATGGTATACAAGGTTGTTTGTCGCAGGTGGTTTTGGCCATGTAATTGGATGTTGCGTGCGACCAAGAAGAAGACAGGTATTTGGAAAATGGGTAAATATATTCCCACCCACACATGCGAAATGTACACATTCAACGGGAATCACTTCAACTTGGATATTGACTTGATTTCTCTTATACTTATTCCGCACCTCGAAGCGTCCATAAGGTATACAATAAAAGAGTGCATTACATCAGTCCACCAGGAATATGGCCATACCATTACGAAAAGAAAGGCATTTCTTAGGCGCAAACGAGCGTTTGAAATTGTCTACGGTAATTGGGATAAGTCATTTGCATCTCTGCCAAAGTACATGGCCGCAATGCAGCACTTTAACCCCGGGACAGTTGTTGAATGGAAGCTTGAGCAGAGTCCGGGAACACTAGGATACATATTCAATTACGTTTTCTGGGCGTTTAAGCCAGCAATTTATGATTTTTCGCATTGCCGGCCCGTAATATCCATAGACGGAACTCATATCTATGGAAAGTACGATATCAAGCTATTGATAGCCGNCAGGTAGCCTACCGTTGGTTAATGCGACATGACCCTGAAAAGTGGACGTTGCATGCGGATGGTGGCAGACGATGGGGAATTCTTACTACAAACATGTCAGAGTCCTTCAACGGGTTATTGAAGTAGGCAAGAGGATTGCCCGTCACAACCATGGTGCGGATGTCGTTTAAGTAAATGGCGGAGAGGTTTGTTGAACGATCTGAAACTGCAACGGAATTGATGGAGAGGGGTGTTGAATTTATGGCAGTGCCTATGAAGAGATTTGAGAAATACAGATGGCGAGCACATTGGCATTCAATTTTGCAGTATGATAACGAAATAGGTGTTTTTGAAGTTCGCACCGCTATCCATAATAATCGGGGTAATAATGTACATACTGTAAATGAATCTGCAAGGTTATGCTCCTGTGGGAAATGATCTCTCTACCACATGCCTTGCTCACATGCCATCAAGTGTTTTCAACGTGTTGGTTATGCGGAGACCAACTATGTTGATCAACAATATAGTATTTCCAAGTACCTAAACACATATAGTGTTCAGTTGCAGCCAGTGGGTGCTGAGCATTATTGGCCTCCGGAATCATTTAAAATGGTATGTAACAAGTCATATTTGCGTAAAAGACAGGTGCAGAAGAGAACACGTATACGGAGCCAAATGGATGTTAGTGACACCGTTTATGCGCGCAAATGTGGTATATGCTCGCAAATAGGACACGATCGTAGAAAATGTCCTTTGGGTGGCAACAGTAATCAAGCTCAGGGTGGGTGTTCTTCTAGTGTACCTAACTACCCATGAGTTGATGTTGTAATAATTAGTTGTTATGTCTATGTTGCAAGATTTATGAAATAAAATTATGCTTGTTAATTATGATTTGTACTTTCCCATTTTACCAATTTAAATAATAATTTAATAAAATTATCTGTATATTTATTATGTGTGTGTGTTGTCTTGTTGAACTGAAAAAGCTGATCAGCTGACATTATTTGAATATGTTGTCACCTGTAGAAGCGGCAGAAAGCCACCAACGTCTCTTTGTGTGCCGATGCAAGCCCGACACATCTGCATGTACAGATATAAGATGACAGCACCACCCCAGCTGTAGATGGTTGTATCCTTGAACCGGGCAATATGATGCAGAAAACGGAGGCTCACTAGGTTCCCCGAAGTGTTCGGGAACAAGACCCCCCCAAATAGAAAGAGCAACAGCAGCCTCGTATATCGCTGTACATCCACCTGCGCTGACTCGTCGGTGATAGTATGGTGGATCTGCACCAGGTGGTCTCTAATGGGGACCAACTATATACGACTGGACCCAAACGCTACCTCCTCGTCCTCCGGCATGAAACCCGTGAGCATGTGCAGCATATCCCAATATGTCTACCGCGAATAATATCTCATGGTCGCAGGCAGTAAAACTGGCAAGCCATCAGCGGACAGGCCATATAAAATCTCAGCGTCCTGGAGTGTGATGGTGGCCTCACCGATGGGCAAATGGAAAGTGTGCGTCTCTGGTCGCCACCGCTCAATCAAGACCATGATCAAAGCATAGTCAAGCTGTATCTGGCCAATCCTAATAATCCTATATAATACCATCTCCTCCAGGTAATGGACCACGCGGGGATGTAGAATGCGGGGAGGACTCAAAAACTCCCACAATAGATCCACTCTCCTGGTCCGGAAAGTCTGCGTTAGCAACTGTCCGTCCCATATATACTCGGATCTATGCTGGGGTTGTAGGGATAATAGATCCAACGTCCGAGGGCCGGGATGTACAGTCGTGTCCATGTCGTCAACTGTAAATTCATATTTTTTAATTATGTATTTTTTTTATAATTTAAATTCATATTTTTTAATAACTTAATTGTACAAATTATATATATATGGGTTCAGGGCTCGATATTTTGAGGACCAGTGGCACCAAACTATCATTAATAATTATGTATTTTTTTATAATTTAAAT